GTATGTGTCTCTATGCGTGCGTGTGTGTATGTGTCTCTATGCGTGTGTGTGTGTGTGTGTCTCTATGCGTGTGTGTGTGTGTGTGTCTCTATGCGTGTGTGTGTGTGTGTCTCTATGCGTGTGTGTTTGTGTGTGTCTCTATACGTGTGTGTGTGTGTGTGTGTGTGTGTCTGTATGTATATGCGTGTGTGTCTATCTGTGTCTATGTGTGTCCGAGTGTTTCTATGTCTGTGTGTCTTTGTGTGTATACGCCGTTTGTCTTCTCGCTACGTGTTCGGTGTCATTGGCTACATGTATGAACGTGTACCATTTATATGTTACTATGTGCTTCGTCTCTAGTACTTTTTTGTTTAAACATATCGTATCGTGCTATAACATTCGTCTGCGGCAACATGTACTATAGTCTTTATGGAGACCTTTGCTATAGGCCAAAGGGCCTACTGTCGCTCAGTAACTAAAAGCGTTCGACCTTTAGTTTTTCTTCACCATAGCCTCCATTAGTTCATCTCTCCCTGATCTCCCCTGATTATTCCCTTCCAAACTGCCCCTGCTATATTAACTATATTTATTAATAGTTATCATTATTATTATTATAATCATTAGTATCCGAACTCCTCTAGCAGTAAGTCGAAGGCAGCGACAGCAATAAAAGACGCCTGTCATATCTACTACTTCTACCACTACTACTAAATATAATAATAGCCATCATCATTAATAAACATCATCATAGCCCTCGTCTTATTATTTTCTAATTTTTTTTTCATACCTCTCACACTTTTCAACTTACTCTTTATCCTGGTATCTTTCTCTCACTCGCACATCGTTATTATGATTCATAAACCCATTTCTAAAGTAACCCTTACTTATCGACCCCTCCGTCGTGTACCTGCATTTTCTAAGTGCAGACGTAACGCGAAAGGAACTAAGGTTAGTATGTATTCATGGTAGTTGTGTAAAGTAGGAGGAAAAAAGTGCACCCAGGCCGCGCAGCATATTGATCTAGCCTTTGCCCGCAAGCCGTCTGCCAAAAACACGGAGAAGAAACAGGAACAATGACCGTGATTCTAGGTCGCTGCCTCCACTTGTTAGATTAGGCAGCAATACGATGATGACCAAATTCTCCGTCCTCATCATATACCATAGACATTACAATTGTGAGCCATTATTACCCCTACATTTGCATCTTGACAGCGTTGAAGGAAAGAAAAATGGCTAATGGTTTTCATTAATATTTTGTATTTTTGTTGTTTTTTTATCGTTTTACTCCTTATTCGCTTTTCTCCCTGTTTACCTTCCGGTCTATTTCACCTGCGTGATTCTGTGTTCTGTTTGTGTTCTGTAACCACTTTTCTGTTTTTTGTCGCTGCTGTTACCAGCTAGTTGCAGCCATTCGTTTTGCAATAAAGAAAGCAATCTTTCACCTACGTACCACCCTCGTCCGGGTTGGGGTCGGAAAGAAACTGCAACATAGACTTAAATTCGCCGTCATTTGACCATCAGGGGCAAAGTGCGCATGCTAGGGAAAGCTAAAATTCACTTGATCCTATCAGAATAGTTTTTTTCTTAAGAGAGCATCATCTATCAGTGATCGATTGGCTTCCGAGTACGCGGCAGACACCAAACCTAACCGTACTAATTTGAATAGAGGAAGTCGACAATGGTCCATCAATTCGGTACATGATTTTAGTTAATTTGATAATACTATAGCATCGGTATGAATATAATTATTTAAGTCTTTCATCATTAATATAGCGTCGACCGCTATGATCATTACTAAGTATCATCATCAAATCATAATCACGATAACAAGCATTATATCATCATTTCCATCTGCTTCGTTTCTATCAGTGTTTCATTTCATTATCATATATCAACGTCTTCATTCATAATTATTACTATTTCTATTATAAATATATATATTTTTTTTATTATTATTATTATTACTATTATATTTACTGCTAATTTTTTGTCGTCATTAATATTATTATTATTATTTCTGTTGTTGTTGTTGTTGCTGCTGTTATTCATTTTCATTTGATGAGAATTAAAACAACTCCGCACACATCTGCTCATTTCGACACACCTTCATTGCGCCTTTTCTCTCGTCTTGCGTTTTCCGACAGTGTTCCTACTACGAAACTATCATGCGACCACGGCCCTGCTGGTCCTGGCCCCCAAGACCTAGTTGTTAATTCAGCTTTGGCTGTTGTTGATATCGACGAGGTGACACCCAGTGGCTCGGTACGGAAGCTGTATTGTCGTCGTTTCCTGTGATTCTCCTTCACATGCGTCGACACACACACACACACACATATATATATGTATATATATATATATATATGTATATATATATATATATGTATATGTATATATATATGTATATATATATATTAGTTGCTGGTATTGTTTATTGTTGTTGATAATATTTTTTTCTGTTGAGGTTTTCTTCATTGTGTTCTGTCGTCATTACTATTATTATTACTATTATTATTATTTACGTATGTTCTTGTTGTTTTGTTACTGTTGTAGTTGGTGGTGATGGTGGTGATCTAACAAACGCTCAACTTTTATGCAACAGCTGCAGCAGCAGCGGTCTTTTAGGTGTCGTCTGCTGCGGCTTCTATGGTTCTCAACAGGATGTGGCTTGTTTACATCGCGTACTTTCGGGTCCATTCTCGTGCTAGCTCGTTATAGCGGTCCCGATCCGCCTTGTAGATTTTAGCAATCTCCGGAACGAGCGGATCATCCGGGTTTGGGTCACACAGCAGTGAGCATATCGACAAGAGAACCTGAAAAAGAAGAAAATAGAACAAATATGTATGACAGTAAAAGGAGACCGGATAGGATAGATTATTGAAGAGAAGATTGATAAAGTGACCTAGAGAAACAACGTTTTTTTTCTATAAAGACTTAACAATGGGCTGTCGTTAAAAGCGGCCTAATCACTATGTCTTTAGATGTGAAATTACAAATAAAACTAACTTTACTGATTTGTCACAATCAATATCTATCGACATAACTACAACTATTAGTTCAGATTAATAACTAACGCCGCAGTTGGACCAAATGCAGATGATATAGTTTAAGCATCGGGCCAAACTTAGCCTTTGGCATTTCGAAACCTTAACCCGAGCCAGTTGCATAATTGATCGGCGGTTTTTACCGTATGTGCGTGATCCTTTAGCTATCTATATGAGAGATTCCTCCGAGATGCTCATCTAAGCCCATGGTCTCTTTTCAGCCTATCACGTAAACGAAGCACTTGCTCGTGCGCTTTATTAGAAGCGAAATCAAATTACGTTACTCTTAGCGTACCTTTTACGTAGAAGCGGTGTACTAACTATGAACGAAGCAATAATATTGTACTAGCTGCTTAATTACTGATGGATTAACACACCTTATCTTTGTTTGTAAAACTGCTGTTAAGTTGAACAGGATACATTAACTACATGTTATATGACATCGAAATTCTAATAGACACATAGTAATGTATAATACCTTAGAAATGGTGAGCGCTGGCGACCATTGCGAGCGAAGAATATCCAAACAGATGGAGCCGTTTGAGTTGATATTGGGATGGTAAATACGCGTCGTGAATGCCACCTATGAAAAAAATTAGGAGCAAATAACGGAAAAAGGTTATTCTCTGACTTTTATCGCTTCGCAAAAACGTTAGATGCACTAATTTGTGCTTGTTATTATTGTATAACACAATTATTGTTATAGCCTATTAAGATAATGGGACACGGAACTTAGATCAGCACTACATCGTCACTGCTATAAGCTGCTCCATGTAATATCTATAATGCAACATCACATTATTATAACGTTACTCTTTTCCTTTCTTTTAAATAATTCATGAAAACTGTAGATTATTACTGCATAATGACGTAATTATTTAAACTATTAGGCTGTGAGAAGCGAACTCGACGACTTCGAAATTTAAAAAACTGAGTGACTTTTGAACTGCTTGGGGTACAACGATAATTTTTATTAAAGAATATTTGCTTCCTTTATTTTTCTTTAATGTTTTAACGCTTCGGCAGCTTCTGAACAGCCATATACCTACCACTCGCGCTCAATTACATATGAAATTTTTATCTATGGCCCCTCAAAGTTGGTACTGGGATATGCCTGCCTATCATTTGCCCTTTATTGGGTATAGATAGCCCCGTAGTTAAACGAACCTAGATTGGAAGAATAAGCGGCTTAAAGCCAACGTTGGGTATTCCATCCAGGAAGTAGTTTAGGCATGGCGGTGAAATCTAGCGTTGTCATGGAGTAACTAGATTGTGTGATTTCGATTGCCGTGTTAAAGGTCTATGAGTCTTTTGAGGAATTTGAGATAGCGTGCTGCATCCATTGCTTTACTGTCGGTAAGTATCTCTTAGTAGTAGACGCCTTATGTCTGAGCCTACTCAAATCATTCCACCGAACTCATCTTTATGGCGACGCCGTTCTCTTGCCGGATTCCTTTCCAGCTTGTAGTAAAGGTTGAACCATGTCTTGTCTATAGCGGTCTTATGCTCCAGGGGGGCTATTTTGTTATTCAAGTTTCGCAAATTGCACGTGGAATATACCACACGAATTTTCAACTGGCTTGGAGTTCACGGGACTCATTTTTTGCTCAGTTCTGCATTTTCACTATTTGGGTTACTTTATCACACGTCACACGTAAAATTCTAATTTTGGCCGACAAATTCCTTAAATTCCAAGCCCTGCTTTCGTTAAAAGCCTCAATTGTGGTAGTGCATTCTTCTCCTCTAAGTCCATACATCCGTCCACCTACTCGTTGGTCTTCAACACAACAAAATCTCCGTTCCTGAAGCGTTTACACCGTTCACGTATTGATCTTTCTCATATTGCCTAATGTCTTCATCAATCATCGCTGAATGTCCGGAGCGCTATGCCTTTCGAGGACAAAAACTTAGCCATTGAGCGTTTGGAGACGCAAAAGATGTTCTCTTCTAAACAAATTTCTAAATTGAACTCAGCCAGTTTTTACTCGTCACTCACGTCTAGTTCAAAAGTTTCAAGTTCGGAAGTTCGTCGGATTTGCTTGCGACAATCTAATATCATGAATACGCGATTAAGGCTAGAAGTCTGTATGCATAAGAGTAAACAGATTTATATACAATTTGTTGCACGTAGACATCAGTTCGTTTTAGATCCAAATTAGTCAGTTGAGAATCTACGACATAAATATTAAATGGCGCAGACGATCGAACGATATTCCTCTATTTTATATTTATTCTATATCATTTACATCTCTTGATTGAAATCAAAACTTCCGAAATAAATGGTCATATGCCATAAAGTCGCACTTAAAATCATAACCCTTACCTTGGGCGGTTTGAATGGGTAGTCAGTGGGGAAGTGAATTGTGAGAAAAAATACTCCACCCTGATATGGACTGTCCGGCTGGAATCGAATCGTAACAAAACAAATCAGTGGTCTTGATCAAAATTATGTTTTGTATAAGCTCAACTACTATAGGTTAAAAGAGAAAAGATAACATACGAATATAATAATTAAGACAAACTTTATGTAGGAAGTGAGCCTATTCCTTCACGTAATATGAAAGGAACGAAAGAACATACAAAGTAATAGAATAACGATGTGATGTCCAATACAACGCATAGACACTATAGTTCTTTTAGATTGAGCTAACTTTAACAATATAACTACGCCGTATCATAATATCTTAATTAACAGCAGATTTAATTTTCATTTAAAAGTACCATTATAAAAAGAGTTCGATATCCCGTTGATTATTTCAATCCTTCAGTAAAACAATGTATAGTTAACTAGCTATTAGAAATTAACTATAATTATATTCACACAAAGCTAAATGGAATAACTCATAGATGTGAGTATGCTTGCAACTTACGATGTAATATTGACCCTGGATAAAATTATATAATTAGAAAACAGTGTCGTAGTCAAGTACTTACTGGTCCCATAATTGTAGCCTGCCAGTGGAACACTGTAAGTAACAGAAAAATGCATATAATATCATTAGTACTGAATAATATCCAAGTTTAGATTAAGCATTGATACCAGATACTAAGACCAGTGCACATTCGATGAATAGAAGTTTGTGCAAAACAGGTGGTTCTGATACAAGTAAAAAGGCTGATCATACAACTAGACCATTGAACGCAGTATACGATGACTCTCCAAGGAACAGTTTTTGTTTACAATTTTTACGATACACGAAGTACACCAGGGTATGTGTATTTCGTATTACGATATTTAATCGAAATTATATCACGGGCTATAATGTTCGACTAGAGTGAAGAAGTTTTCAGTCTCATATTAGGCGCCCCGATTGTGCACTTCACAACTGTCGCGGAAGAGTTTAATACGTGACGCTTAAGTGGAAGACCTCACGGCTTCATTGCCGGCTCCGTGGCTACATTCTAAATAGCTGCCTGAATGCTTCCAGTTTGTGATTCACTTAGAACGAACGTTACTTCACCATAAACTACACATTTCAGTGAATATTCAACAATTCTAGTTGAATACACACGCTGACCATGTTAATAAATTACTATAAGCAACTGGAATGTTGAGCTCTAAACAGAAGTAACCATACCGTTCAGTAAGTTTTTCGCTAGACAATTGTTCTACTTGATTTCATTCTTTAGTCGATAACTTGCTTTTTCACTTACATTTTATCTATATAACACGCACAAGTACGGCGCAATTTCCAGACGAATATTTACCTCTTCATGTGCTCAGTGCTGCCTCTCATTGGTCTTTGTTTTTTTGTGTTCTCTAAAACATGTTATCGCTTAATCTTCTGCCTACTCCAGCCTAAACGTCATTTCGACGCGGTGACTGACTTCATCGTGATCATGACCGGATAAAAACATTAGCCTAACTAGATCCAAACCTGTTTGCGGCATAGTCGAGGACAGCTTAAGCAACTAAGCAGATTCTATATAACGGGATCACAGCGAGATAATACTGGGTTTAGCACAACGGAAACTTTGACACCCTCGAAATTTGCCACGGTCATCACATACTATGGGAATATGTAGCATTTTATTCCTCAATTAACAGTTAAAGGTAGAACTATCCGTGACCTGCCCAGATAGGTAAGCTTAAGGTAGATTAGCACGTAATCGGTTAGCAAACTAACTCGACTGGTTTCTAACTCATGGTGTAGATCTAGGTATCTACGGTTGACACAACCATTTTTAGTCCAATTGAAAAGATGTTGTGCAACGGAAGTAGTGGCAATCGAAAGCATCTGCCTTTAGACCATGTTTGCCTATGGAGTACGGACAAAGCAAGTGACGAGATTTCGTTTATACCTACCAAGTACTCCATGTGTATACAATGTGTGCATGCCTTCTCACGCTGTCTTAATCCCTCACGTCGTCGGTAGCGGGCTTTAATTACATGGGGCGAGAACAATAACTAAAATAAAAGAGCTGTTATGTGTACATCCTGTCAAAATATGACGATATCCCCGAAAAACTTATGCGACAACATTAACTTCTGCCTGTTCATTACATAGCGAATTCAGTGAAGTGGCTTTCGCTCCGTTGTCATCAACAGTTATCTGATCACGATCATTTAAATAGTTATATTGCATTGAGATATACATTAGCATATATCGGTTATAGTCGGTACGAACATTGTTTTAATGTAGAAAATTACGCTGTAGATAGGGTCTATTTGTGACGGAAGCAAACCAATAGACCTTCTTTTACCTTTGTGCCTCCAAAAAAATCCCAGAAAACTTCGCTGGTACCTTTTCTTAAGTATCCTACATTACATATTTAAACAGCGCTGTAACAACTGTCAAAAATTAATTAGCATTGCGGAATACTTCCATTTACTACTCCATTTATTTATAAGACAAGTTCGATTTATTTAACGGAATTCCTATTTCTATCACTTGGCTGTTTGGTCTAAATCTCATATCTCGTTAAACGTGTCAAACTCGGAAAGGAGAAAATTTCGCACGCATGTCGCACACGAAAGGGCAGCGCCTGTAATTTATAGGAAAACATCGCCACTTCGTTGACAATGGACGACGACCACGTCGAGCTATAAACAATAGCTTTGCCGTTAAGTTTCCCTCCCTCATTTACAATGTTACCACAACGCTCAGTTGTGATTTGAGCTGGTCCTAAGCCTTCTTCAGATAACAGTTTCAAAAGGGTACGGGCACATCATGATGTGATCATTTAAATTGTGATAGAGGCAATTTTAAATGGTTACTGCTGTCGCTCAAGGCGTTTGTCATACACATGTAATATTACGAATAATATACATATATATATATCAAAAAGAACTGCTGATCATGTTGGCGCTAGTTTGTAAAGTTAGTGCTTTTTATTCTATTTGGAGCCTTCTCACGTACTTCACGGCCACGACACCGTACAACATAAGTTTTTCTTTCGTAAGAGTTTTCTAAGAAATCCGACATTTCGAGTCCTACTAAATGAACAGATTTCTTTTAAAGGAAAATGATTTTCCACAAACGTAGTGCATACACATAACTGAGGGTTTTACGAGGATTACCTATAACGGCTACAAAATACAAAATTCGTTTGTAGAAGCTGTGACTAATACTGCGGAAATGCCCGTGGTTGTTTTCAGCTACGCGTTTACGATGGGTACGCTGACAACAATACGCTAATTGGATAACTTCATAGAACAAACCCAGCTCCATGAACTAGATATTCCAGAGGCGTAAATTCACTGCTGAGTAAAACGTAGATAACTCCCAATTAAATTAAAGTGTACGTGGCACTCGTAACTCAGGTGGTAAAAACACTTCACGAGAATCATCCATCCATCCATCCACAGGTGAAAAGAAATAACTGTCATCAACGAACGAATCACTTACGATCCTCTCCAAGGGGACCGGCTGAGCACTGGGCAGGCGGATCCCTGCCTAGGTCCAACAATTCCTGAAAAACACATACAATTTCTAATCAGTTAGGAATTCACCAGTGATACAGGATGAGAATCATACATACATCCCAAGGAATATAACGCAGTAACCTAAAGTGTGAAACTGGCGGACGTTTGATAGTGAAGCGTCGGATCAGTGTGTTTCTTTGTATGTATTAGCGAAAGACCTGATCATCTCACGCTGCGTCAGGTTGTTGTGTCGTATACTACCAACATTTAAATGGTCTCCGTGAAATACTGCCGCTGTGGTAACGCATTTGTGTATTACCAAGCTTTGGTAAAAGGTTCAAATTCCGCGCGCATCTAACATTGTGTTTCCACGGCTCAACCGTGTCAATCAATGTCTTGCGCTAGTCTTAACGTAGAAGTCGAATGACTCATTATTTAATATATTAAGTAAAATAAGTATCTCTTTAAAAGGAGTAGTATTCTATGTTGATGACAACGTATTTGTTCAATATTTTCTGGGATGCTCCCTTCAGGAGTCGTACTGCTTTTTAGAGCTAGTTGCTGCCTGGCCCTTCCTGGAATAACTAAAAAGGACTCAAATTCATTCAGGAGAGACGAAACAATCGATAATCAGGTATTGCTGCTGTTACAGGAAAAGTAGCCGCCACTTAGCATTGCAAAGCGATTGGTTCGTTCCCGCTAAATGTTCATTTTTGCCATAAAGTTTCAGTAGCATACCCACGGAGTTGGCCCATGAACCTTTCGTCTTTTGTAGTGATGTAACCTGTATCTAATGCCCTGCTCGGCCAGAAGCTACTTGTGCTACTTCAACTCGTTCCATTGGAGCTCGTTAGCATGTTTGAAAGTACTGGTAGATGCTTAGTTTAATCTGAAAGTATTGGTAGATGCTTAGTTTAATCTTGGCTAATACCAACACTGAATCCAATAGATTATCCAAATAAATGCCTCGTCAAATTAAGACATACCCCTTAGTACCAAAATCTACTCAAATTTATGTACCTGTTTCTTAGATAACATAGTGGAATTACCTACTGAAAGGTCACGAACAGCTCCATCGAATCCTCATCAGCTAAAACTGATTAAACAACAACCTCTCAAACGTCACATGATCATGATTGTCACACGTGCCGTGACCATCGTGGCCTTTATTCGTCATGCGACGCCGTCTCGTTGATGTATGACTGAGGAGGACTAAATCAAAACGATGGGACGCGGATCTAAAAACGCTTAACTTAAATTAGACACTACCGCGTACGAATCCCATACGAAACACGCAAACATACTATTAGAAGCATGACTTTCCTCACCTATCCCGTTACCCGGAAATCGACAACTTGACAGTATGAACAGCCGACATTCGACATGCTGACCGCGATTTCATGCAGCTCGGTGCGTGTCATCAGATGAGCCGCATGCTTGGCCTGATCGACCAGCAGCACTATAGGTAACCGGAGACACCCATGGTTATCACAGAAATAAAGCCGGCAAATAGCCAGTCGTCCAGACGCCGCCCTGGAACAGCCTTCTAGACCGCAAAGCCAATAGCAGCCACAACACCAGTAGCGACAGTAGCACCTGCATAAGCAGAAATTAAATACTGTCGCCCGCCAGCAGGCTTTGGCACAGCGGCAATTAATCGCTTACCTCATGTATAAAAGATTATATATTATTAACAATAATTATAAAAATATACCGCTGCCAATACGACGCAAACACAATGCTGTAGTCACATCTCTTATGAGAGATAAAACCTTTTAGTTTTTCATTATTTTATCAAATACTGGCTGAAAGCTTTCCTGCGTTTGCCAGCTACAACACGAGCAGCGAACAACCATTTAGAGGTCAGTGATAGAAACAAAACTGTCTAAGCAGAGAGGCAAGATCGATAAACTGGTATTTACGAAGTTGCAAACGAAACTATAATACAACTACCTCGATATTACATACACGCGGCACAAGTTGTTATGGTTGCCCTGTCTGGGAACAGACTTCGCAGATCGTTGCGACCGTGTAGGAATGAACGGAGCAAAACCGCGCAGTATATTACTGATATCATGCCACTAACAGGTGCCGTTGTGCAATGATGCTTTCGTGACTAATTGACTGCGTCGCAGTTTTCTCATTTACCGAACTGTTTGCCGCCTAGATTACTGTTGTTGTCGCCATCTGCATTAACAGTTTCTGTGCCACCACATGATGATAGCGCTGATGATAATCGTTTTGGTTTATGGTATAACCATCACCACTTTTTTGAGCAGACCTCGACTATACAAAAACTAGACACAGAGGCTAGCTAGTGCAGCAGATTAATAATCTGATTAGGCTACACGTGCATACTTACGGAGCATACGCATGTATTCTGATCTGCGCAAATCAGCAGATTTTCCACCTATGTCTAATGCAAATCAGCAACAGTAACTAGTCAAGAAATTCGAACTGCAGCCGGGATCGGAGATAGACCAGCACCATGATCGGTGACTGTCACTACTCTGTCACAGTTCTTTTGTCTGATTAAGGCAATGCTCAGCTTAAGTTACGAAACAAACAGCGCATAAACGTATGTAGCGATAAGAACCACCGTCACCGCAGCATTAGCTGCATCGCCAGCGTAACGTCACCCACCACCAAAGACTACCGACGGCTATGGGAGACGGGCGGCCGTAGACGGCGGCAAAAACTAACAAACATATCACACCATTCTTTTAGCCTCACTCAACTGGAACGCTTGGAACAACGCTTAGGAGCTTGATCGAGGCTAGTCGCGGTGACTGGCCAAGCGATTAAGCTCGTCAGGGTTTAACAGCAACAGGCAGCCCGATGGTGGCCTAGCCATTATTTTCTACCCATCGGTAGCGACTGTCTCTAATAGTATGTTTATCAATACAAGCAAGTATATCAATGCAAGCAAAGAATGTCAATGCTTCATTGCACCCAGAACTCAGCGTGGTAGATGTACTGTTGTTTCGCTATGAATTTTCATGGTGGCCATAGCTTTGAGCTTGGTTTGCGTATTTGAAGAAATTGCTTCCTTTTTAGGTGACCTAGCAACCACCCACCCCACGAACGTTTATCACGTGCTCGTGCTGCAGTGAGATTGGCCTCGTCCCGCAACCTAGGCCGTTAGCATCAGCAACAGCAATCGCATGAGCATACTTCGCCATTTAACTGCTACCTCGATTCGATACAGGCGACCACTGGCGATTATCTCGGTGTCACACAATTTCCCCAGCCCAGTTCACCACCTGCTACTCCTACACATGCAACGAATTCTATCCCCCCCTCCCCCTCCCCCCTCCCCCTAACCAATTCACAACGAATAAAAAAACGCTCGTGACGTAGTACTGGTTGTTGCAGTTCGCCTACTGATCTGTATTTTTACCCACTAAAGTACAGAGGAGACTCAGCAGCAGCCCAACAACAAAGGACAATAACATGTGAGAACTAAACAGACTGTAGTCTGTACAACGTAGTGCACAAATCAGAAAGGACAAGTTCTTAAAGGTGGACGACCACCGCCAACGACCATGACGGGTTTTTCAGGAAACAATCAACGCTGAGGGTCAGGCCGCATGTTGCGATGGAGTCGACCACGGGATGTTGTCCGACACGAAACATCAAGCGGAACCAGGGAGGTAGCGATGGAGCAGTAAACCACCGATCGAATCAGAAGCAGCAATGACACTAACTGCAGCAGCTCGCCATCGGACGACGTCGTAGCTTATGATAAGGGCCATGCAAGCAAAATGAGGGGCCCGTCAGCCCCCGACACAGGACATCTCCCGCACTCGGATGGACTGGTTATGGGCTTAGCAGGCGTAAATTGTATCAGTAGGAAGCCGGGATCATAGTCCAGTAGTGCGCTAAGAATCGCTGGAAACGGACCATCGTATAGAGGTTAAAAGCACCACGCAACAATGGTGCAGACCCCCTACTTGTATACTGTACACATAAGAAATACTTTGCGTGCTGGACGTAATCAAACGCCGAAGAAACAGTCATCCGATTAGAATTAGTAGCAAACTCACACACAAGTTTCACACATAGTTGTTTCTGTTTTTTACGTCTAGTGTCTCGATTCATCTTAGCGTCTCTAACAACGAACGATCTGAGGCAATTGCAACAGCGAAATGCGACGCAGCAGAACACGATCGTGGTCGATTATGGGTCGATATGGGATTACAGTAAACGGCCGCCCGGGATGACTCTGCTAACCAGACGCAAACCAGCAGTAACGGCGGCGGCGGCAATCACCGATTAACCAATCATTAACTAACCACGTAATTTCGCATTAGTGGGTGTTGTATGGGTTTGTTGCTCCTGCTGATGGTGCTTGCTGCTGCTGCCGTCATTCAAGTACTTTGCTACGACATGTCTGTTAAGTGGACCACAACAGGGATCCGAGTATAGTATTCACCACTACTACCCCATTCTACTTCCAGGCAGATTTCGCAGAAACCCTGCCGTTAGCGTACGATACATAGTAGAATTCATGGGCTTCAGGAGAACGGCGTGGGCGACCATTGGTTATCACTGCTGATCGAAGAGGTACAGGGTTATTTTTGTAACGAGCCCCCTATATCGAGACTGTAACACGGTACCAACCCATATATGACTTCTTGGATAGACATTGGCTACGCAGGCAAGCAGGCAGGCTGGCTGGCTGGCTGTTGGCTACAGGCTGCACTCAGACAGGCAGCTATCTAGCCCCGTATCCCCATACACACGGAAAGGCGTCCGCAAGGCTTAGAATGCGACAAACGATTTTATGAGGCAGCGCGTCCACTCGGGCCCCCGTTTCCACGTCATGGGCCTGAGCCCATGGCCTGGCTACTTTCTTCCAACACGGCACAATTATGTACTCACTTTATTGATGCGTTTGAGAGCCATTTGCACTTTCGTCAATTCCTCGGTACCGACACCGATCTCAACCTCTACAGCCGATCCAGAGACCACGACTGCTAATGGCGGAACAGGCAGGGGCCAGGCCGTTAAGTAAGCGGGACGACCTGAGTAGATTGTCGATATTCTGACACCACTTGAATTGTTCACGTACACACGCTAACGCCAAAACACTTCGCTGATTGAAGTCGAATCGAAGGATGACAATTCGACAAGACTCTTATGCTAGAATGACACGAAACGAGACGAAATCTTGAGTAGTGGCGCCACTGTTAGCGGGCTGCAGGGAGTCTGGCAACCCAAGACGAAGTTTGAATAATTTGGCGCGAAACGATGACTCGAGCGAAGCGTCTAGAAGGGGCGCTGTACCACGGTCGAACAGTGCTAGTAGGAAAGTGCGTTACGAGTAGGGGAGAATAGACACAAAGTACTGGAGTGGCGGTACGATTTGATTGGCGGGAAACAAAACAGTTAATGGCCTATAATGCCTAAATAGCACAGCGTACATCAACGACTTATGGCGGTATATTGTTAAATATACGCACATACATTCGTTCATTTACCTTTTATTGATAATCTCTATTGATGCCTAAAGCAGATTTCGACAGATACTTCTCATTTATTATATGATAAATTTAAATCAGCTTCAAGTCAACATAAAATGGATATGGCAGGAGAGTTATGATTTTGCGAATAGTGTATCCTATTCATTTTTCTCCATACAGAATTGACAATTGTGAGAGAAATAGTCCATAAGCAAATGCTTTCTTTTTTAGTACTGAATGGTTTTGGAAAAATGAAAATTAGACAGGTTAGTCATAACGTAAAAAATAAGTTACGTGTAATTAGTTTGTCAATGGAAAGCCACTTGCTGTTTTTAAGGGATTACATACAAAGGATAATAAAGTAAAGTGCTTTTCAGGGATCGATCGCAGAAACATAATTTCAAATATTTAAATTATGAAAGAGAAACTGGCTACTCTATTTCGGCATGTCGTATTAATAACAAGCACATAAACGAATATCTTATTATAATAGAAGGTATTTACTAAAATCAAAATTATATACATTTGTATGTGATTTGTACGTGCCTATATTTGTATTTTACGTCTGTCCGAAGGTGGCTGCGCATTAAAAAAAAAAAAAAAAAAAACAGGTTTATTTAGGTCAAAGTGATTTGTTTAAAAATTTTCATCTTACCTTCAGTAGTTTAGAATAAAAACATATAGGAATGCTTTTTTCGTTCATCTACTTTTTATTGATAATCTCTATTGATGCCTAAAGAAGATTTCGACAGATACTTCTCATTTATTATAAACTTAAATCAGCTTCAAGTCAACATGAAGATAGCTTTTTTACCAATTATAGTAAAATTTCAGAAATTCTATAAAAACCGAAACCGAAGAAAGTGTTGGACGAAATATTTAATCAAAAGAATTTCTATAGTTTTGCACCGAAAGTCACTTTGACTAATAGGATTTCATCTCAACTGAAGTAAACTCGAGTATTTAGATATAAAGGTATAAAGAGAGAAAATTCACTTTATAAATTGCTTTGCACTATATGTCTTACCCACATTTCCCGGCTGAAACAGTTTTCTGCTGGAGGCCTCATAGTGGAAACGCTTAGAAAAGCAGTAAACAATCGCCCAACTACTATTTTCTCCAATTTCAGTTTTCTATCATGTGCTGAAGCTGTGTCGAGCGACAATTATCATAGCTAACTATGTAGTGCTGACCATAGAATTCCGACTGGACTGATATGATTTGCTCGAAAATTTACACCCAGTTGAAACCCATTATTAAAAATAAAAAGAAAAAATACATGGTCAAGCAAATCAAGTCGCTTTTACCCTCCTAGACTATGTGAGTAACTGAGTGATACGTGCATGAAGCCAATGTTTGCTAATACATAAAATGAAATGTTTAGCAGCAGTGCCGGACATTAAACTTGATATCTCGTATATTAAACAAACAGATAATGTTTTTATAATCTACCGATTTATTATTCGATATGCATTAGCTTGTTCTTCTAAAATGGTCTACGTAAATTCATTGCTTTCATCTTAGTTTTATCGGTCGGTAAAAATCTATGCTGAAAATGCTACAACGTCAAATTATTCGATCAATATTTTTAACAACAGATCTTTTTAATATTCTTCCAACGGAAAAACGGACGACGGATGAAGCCGGCGCCTTTGCTTTTTTTTTGGGATCTCTATGGTACATACAGGTTCTAGCGTCGAGCATGTGTTTCCAATTTTTGAAAACAACACTTCATTAGGTCATCAATTGAAATGCAGATTTAAATGACAGTGACTCGAGGAGTTTAAGTTGCGTTTAGACAAGTCGAAATCGGCGAACGCTCGTTGTTGGAGTGGCGCCATGAACAAGATAAAAGTTAAAGAGTTATTACACCAGTTCCTTCCCAGACTAGCGAGTTAGATGAAAGCTCATTTTCCCTACCTGCTTCGCGAAATTAGGGGTAGCACATAAAGGTGAATGGTCGTCTGCATTTAGTGGAACATTACAATTGAAAAATTCAGCGAACAGCTGAATACAGTCCCATCAAAGCTGTTGATTTCCAATAACTTTATTTAAACCGCCGGATATCGGTATGTAGCTCCGTGCGTCTTCAATGATGCCCATTCATTTATTAGGTCACATGTCGCAGTGAAGGCGCAGCAGTAATGTGTTTATTTGCCGCATTTAGGGATTCGTGTAATAATTTAAGTTCGAAAGTCGCCAAAGCTACATCTCGCTTCATGCCGAAACGGCTAGCCGTTTGACGCAATGCAAGCACAGTTAGTAAAAGTCGAAACGATTTTGGTAAGGGCATTTGTTTTTCTATTCTATGCAATTCTAAACCATTCTCATGAGTAGGCCAAAATGGACAAATATCTGTTCAGCCACATTCGCAATAACAAAAGAAACGCTCCCTATCATTGAATGTATTGCTCCACTAGATAAAACGTATGCATCGATTTGAATAATGAATAGAGACTCTAGCCCCGTCTAGACTATAAAAAAATATTTTACCTAAATAAATGACGTTGATATTCCTTATCATCTGCCGAGCTCATTCTCGGTAGTTAGTATAGAAACTTTTTAGAAGTGTGTAGATGTTTCTATGTACAAATCTGAATATTTGAACAAGCATTTAAAAAAAATACTGTTTATATTTTGACAGCTTATAACATCGTATACAATATATTAAATTATAATAATGAAATTTGTTCATAAAACGAGACAAAAAATCACATCATGTTCCTCACGGGAACTTACAAACTTGTGAGCGTTTTCCTGCGTAGCGCTTGCTTTGTACTACAGTAACAAGTGAAACCTTGTTCCAGCATGCAAAAGTTAATGCGATCCGACAAACAGACAAACACCGTACGATATGCATAATCAGTGAGTAATGAAAACGAGCCCTGACATGGACAAACACAAACCAACGTATTGATAACATGAGGTAAGATATAATAGATAGTGGTGTAGGAAATTGTACCCGAGCTACTACGAAGAGAAGTTACGGTCAGTTAAAGTTAGATGAATTATCATTAACACGCTACATCGATGCTGATGCTGGTAAAAGTAGACTTTAAGTCACGGATTATCAGTGCCAGGTACTGAACATCCAAATCGTTTGTTATGCTCGTCCCGTTACTCGTCGATTCTATGCATGTCCACGCATAAGTTCCGGGGTTGTAGCAGCCTAAAGGACAACTGGATTGATCCAAACTTTAAGGCATTGGGAAGATAGCTTTTTCGTAAGTATTTAGCAGACTGCAAAAAACGAAAAGCGAAACGGTTCTCACGTGGTCATAGAGCCTATTTAAACTCATTGATCAAATGATTCTGCAAACTTGATAAAACATCGTAAGAAAATTAGACAGACAATCTAAATGACGCAAAACGGTACGCTCCTTACATTTGGTTTGAGAATAACGCCCGCGATCCCGGGCACTCAGAACAAAAAAATCATTCGAAGGGGTCCTTTTAATTTTTTCGTTTATAGGCATTAGCAGCACTTGACAGACATCCACGAGAAGCCTGACGTAACTATGCTATAGATGACAGCTCAGGACCAGCCGTAAAAACAACAATTTGGAATTTAAAGACCAGTGCAGCTTCAATGTCAAGCATTTTTTGGACAGCTGGCCCATTGCACAAGGTTAACCATACATCTTCGCCCAGCTATGAACCTGATTTCTCGAGGTTTTGTTTGCGAATGCGTTCACTGTATATATGGGACACGCAAAGGTGTTTTCTAATTGACTTATACTGGGCTATTATCTATTTTTAAACTAAGCTGGTATTTTGGGAGGCTGTCGTCGTCTTAGCGTCGGCGATGGTATTTCTCAACATGTTCGTCGAGCCCCCATAAACTTCTGTAGTCCGGCCACTGTGTTCCATTTTTATCGACCTTAGGTGATCCTACAATAATTAACCGTGTCACTTATTGTGGGGAAACGTCAAGATCCGTCAAACCCTGACGGTTGGTTTTCCGTATGCTCTACTACGCCCAAACAGCTTCATGGCAGTCAATAAAACTAAATTGAAAAAAACTGAAAAACAAATGAAACCACAAGTAATATGGAATAGAGACGAGTTGTTCTTCGAAATAAAGTATAGTGATATGTAAATGACAATGGTTCTGAATTGCGTGAATATTTTTTGATAAAAGGCTTTTGCTCAAAAGCATGGGTGTGGTAGAAGCAGCACAAAAATGATGCGAGCACACTATTAATTAGCTTGAATATTTTAATGGTTCAGATTCACATACCGTTGAAATCATTTTCACTGTACTAAGGAAAATAAGCTCGTGGAAGGTATTCTAGCATTTGTCAAAATGTATTAGGAAAAGATCGGCAACCGTATTCGAAGTTCATACATTATTCTTCATTCATCGATGATCACATCAAAATCATTCTAAGCCGCTCTCCAAAAGAGCTCTGTAGTTTTCGCTATCATTTCCACGGCTACAGATCATTCTTGATCCTCAACGATATGTGGTAGATATGACAATCCTAACCAAGTAAGTTTATCTGTTACTACGATGAGGCACAAGTGGCGCGCCTGTCTATTCAGCTCGCATCAAGCACGACAGAGCTGCCAGCCGTATCAAACACTTAAGTTTAACCAAGGCAAAATCACCGGAAGTAAAATTGTCGGATAATAGGACATTTTTACCCTTGACGTATTTAACGTATGGCCACAGAGTTGTCTGTCTTTAGA